CCTCGGCCAAAGTCTTACATAGCCTCGAGCTCACTAGACTCTAATGGAACAATAATACAGAATAATGCAGGGAAGCATGTAAATGTATTATTATGTATCCTCGATCATAGTCAGCCTCCACGTCAGATCATAAATTGTGTCAATCGATCACAATATTAATGAAGCGTGTGACATGGTCTGTTCTGTCTTGAATACATACCCATGATACGCATGTGACCATCGTGCTTACACGGGTCAGCATGCAGAGCACGAGCCATTACGATGGTGTACCACACCCGTCAGTGTTGTCCTGTCGCCCTGCTGAGCATTTGTCTCTTTCGCCGTAGTCTCAGATGTCTCTTTGTCACTGGCCTCTACTATTCTCACAATGTCGCGTTGGCTTTCGTGGCTTATCGCATCATCCTCGTATACTACTCTGCTAGCCTGATCCAGATCTAATCCCACGTCATTCAAAGCAACATCTGATATCGATCCGTCTTGGCCTTTTAGGTGGCTTCTTCGTATATTTGCAGGTGCAAATGGGTCTTTGAACAAAGATTTGGTGCGGGAGCTTGATTTTGTTGAGAAGCCGCGCTTCCAAGCGTGGTTGAAGAAGGGCCGCATCGTGGGAACGCACGCAGCCATGATGACGATATTCTGCTCCACCCTAGCAAAATTTCGCTTATTTACGTAAAGCCTGATAGTGGTGGGAGATATCTAACTTACAGGCCCCATATTACGAGCGGTACCGGCTTCCAAACTGCGAACTCATTAGCCGTAATCAGTATCATCGCTTGACATACTTACGCGGGTCTGTTGTGTCCGTGAAGAGCGGCAGATATGTTCCTTTGATAATTGTGACAATCGCAGACAACATCGTCATACCCATCATTACGATGAGTCCGATTTTCGTAGACCAGGGCATCTGCAGGCTCCAAAATACACGTGCCGGTACCACTGCCAGTATTATGTCGGTCAGAGTAGTATAAGCACATAGCCAGTATGAGAAGTAGTTGAGAACGTCTGGACTCCAGCAAGACCCAGGCAGTGTCTTCTCCCACAGTTTGCGGGCCGGTTGGCATTGCGCGAATGCGAGGGCAATGGTGATTATGGCAAATATGACCTGTAAGATTGCCATTGAGTACAGGGCAATAGTTCGTGCGGGGTTCGGAGAGAGTATCTGACAGACAAGAATGGCAATGGAGATGTTGGGGAAGCTAAAAGCGGCTATAGCTTGTCAGCTTTGCGAAAGACTGACCATCCGTGCCCCGGCACCCTACCGATATTAAAAGCTATGATATATCAGCTTGCGCCTTGCCCCAAGTCAATTACTAAAGAGACGACCTACGATATCCAAGCATCTGGATCATAGCGCCTTTGAATAGTCTCTCATTGCCGTATTTCGCGGCAATGGCCGCTGTGTGCTGACCAAACCCTAGCACAACTCCATAGTGTACAAACGATGAAGCTATGATACTGAAAATCTGATAAGATGTTAGAGATTGAGATTTCTGGGGGGGAAGTCAATCAGAACTTCTTACCAACGACAAAAAGATGAAAAAGTCGTCCCAACCAACAACTCGTACAAGTTTGGCTCGCGCAAAGAGTTTTATCAGTACCGTTAAGATTGCAGCTCCGGTGGTAGCCCACGCAACGATCAGGACTTCTGCTTGCCTGCTCTCTGTGAGATCCACAGACTCTGGCATCGTTGCAATGTCTATGTTGTGTGGCAAGAAATATAAAATGAATAGGACAAAGTACCAAAATTATACAGGAAAGAAGGAGAGAAGACGGGATGGTTACATTGTACTTGCCGATTCTCGGCCCCCAGAAAGGAATACAGAACTAAAAGGGAACTTTACATAGGGTATAGGTCAAGGGATTGAGAGTATCACAAGCATTTTGAGGCCAAAGTCTTGATTTAGGCTCACTGTGTATGCACGAACAGTATGAGTGACGTGGTCAGTGTTTCACAAGATGGATTGAAAGTCGAATGATACCAAGATTGGGAGACATGGGCCAACTATCAGCTCACCGGTCATTGGAAGTTCTTACTCTAAGCGAAGCGCAAGGAATGTTGGATTCAATGGACCAACGAATCCTTCAAAAATTTGAAGTTCATGACTCGGTGAAGCGCTAGGTTTTCCCATCATTCACGAGAGATTAAGCAAATAAACTCATTGCTTCTACTTGCTGCTACTTTCTACTGATTTGCTTATTTGAACAACCGCAAAAAACAAGTGTTTACGCTCGACGAGAAAGATCTCAGCTTGAGGGATGACTTCTTGGCCTGCAGACAATATTGTCTGACTCGCGTGCGTTTATGCATGGGCGGAATTCAGTGCCGAAATATATGGGCTGATTGTTCATAACAATTGAGAAGCCTTCTTTTGTGAGCAATGCAATCACGAAAATTGTTATAGGAAGACCCCCTAATGTGATTTATTACTGACCCGAGTCCATTGTCATATACACCTGACATTTGCGGGTTGGGAGAAATATCCACCACACCGCTATGGCTATAACATGTAGATATAACTCCCAAGACTTGTTCCTGGGAACAAGGTAGACAAAAAATGGGGCATGATCGAGTCACGCCTTCGGCTACGTATGGCACGGTTTGCACACGGTGCCTCAAGATAAAGGCCGTTTCCACTTACGAGTACACATGCTGATACTTGGAAGTAAGGCGAAGGCTCAATTTCCGTGATTGAAGATAGGAATCATCCACAATATACAACATGGCGACACCTCCTTCAGTGATCCTCGAACGGATTGCGGCAGCCGGCGAGGCCTACAAACGCCAAGAGAGAGGCTCCCGAGAGGATCTTGTTGAACTTGGCAGAGATCTTGTAGCGGCCCTTGAGATTCCCAGCGAGTTCTTGCAGAGGAGTTTCTGGGCTGAGGTTAGTAGCTGGATTGGACACACCTGCAACTCCGCTGACAATTCGCAGCCTGCCCTGTCAGCACACTGCAAACTAGCTGTTGAAGTGAAGCTCTTTCAACACCTCAAGGATGCAGGCGAAACTGGCGTTGACCCTGATGATCTGGCTTCAAAGACGGGGGTTGATGCCGCTCTGCTCCAACGAATTATGCGTCACCTGATTGCCATGAAGATCGTTTCCTTTTCCAACGGTAAATATCTCGGAACACGGCTCAGCCATGGCCTTGCGTCAGCCAATTACCACAAAAGTATCGACTTTTGCTACGATGTTGCGCGGCCATCCTTCAATGGGTTTCCGGCCTTTTTCAAAAAGACCGGCTACAAACTGCCGACCTCGCCTACGAATGGTCCTTTTCAGGCTGCACATGGCACGGAGCTTTCATTCTTTCCGTGGCTGGTAGCCACACCACCTCACCTGGACGAGTTTGACAATTTCATGTCAGCATATCGTGCCGGAAAGGCGAATTGGTACGACCCGGGCTTCTACCCGGTTGAAGAGCGTCTTATCAAGGGTTTCGACGCCAGTATCAATGAGACGCTCCTCGTGGATGTCGGCGGTGGCCGCGGACACGATGTCGAACTGTTCAGCGCGCAGCACAAGGGCCATCCGGGGAAGCTTGTTCTTCAAGACCGAGAGCCCGTCATTGCTAGCATCCCAGATCAGGACAAACTACCTTTTGAAAGCCAAGTCCACGACTTCTTCACCCCACAGCCAATAAAGGGAGCAAGAGCATACTCACTACATTCAATAATTCACGACTGGAATGATGAAGCGGGCATTAAGATTCTCGAAAACCTTCGGCCCGCGCTCAAACCCGGATACTCGCGTGTGCTACTCAATGAGATTGTGCTTTCAGAAGAGAAACCAACGATTGCAGCGACATCGATGGACATGATGATGCTAGCGCACTTTGCTGTGCGTGAAAGGACCGAAGCGGATTGGAAAGCCATACTGGACAAGGCAGGCCTGAAATTCTTGAATCTTTACAGTTACCCAGGTGTAGCTGAGAGTTTGATAGAGGCAGAGGTAGAGGCGGAAGATTGATATCAGTTTAGCGTCTCTATGCAACAATGAAATAGTATGGTGGGAGCGTATCAAATTTGATGAGATGATGTTCAACAATGTGATACAGCCCATTTCGCTTCAAGAATGAATGACAAGGAAACATATTCCAAAGTGCTCTATACTGGAATAAAAAAACAGAGGTTCCACTCACGTTCAAGGAGAGGCAGAGTGAATTTGACCATGTCTTATCAAGCAGCAAACAGCACACTTAATCTTTGCAACCATAACCTGAAATGGGTATCACGCCCCTCGGGCTATCTATTGAATTCGATACTGCTATGGTATCTTGATACCCTACAATGAATCACCTCCTCAGTTTATGAACTTCTCGCAATCCATACATCTCAAACTCCAACACCACTCGGCACACGATAGCGCCAGAAAGAAACCGCCCGACAACCTGCAACGAGGTAAACAGCGATATGAAAAGCTCGCTAGACAAAACAATCGTCCCATGGATGATCTGAATCCAGACCAAGAGCTTAATTGACCAATTCAAAATCAACATCCAGTATCTTGTTTTCCTTGTCAATTCTCTTGTTGTTGTTGTTGTTGTTGTTGTTGTTGTCAGGGGTACCTCGTCTTTCCAGGCACAAGGCATGACTTCGCCCTCTACCCAGCGCTTTGCAGACTGCCATGCCCTAGCCATCCAGAATGTTTGCATGTATACGTACTCGACCATGGAAATCAGTGTCATGGCCCATGTCGGCGGGGCAATCATGTTCTGCGGCCAGAGCACATGGTGTCTGCCCTTTTGGTCTCTCCGCACGGCTTCCAGGCCTGTGGCATGGTTTTGAAGCGCGGCGCTTGTGCTACCCAGGCTGAGAAGCGCGGCCAGGACGGGTCGGCGGAGCCCCAGTTCGGCAACGTCTACTATGCGTGGGCCGACGAGTTGCAGTGCCATGGGCAGCAGGCCCAGCAGAACCGACACGATTGCCATTTCCGTCTTGGCGGGCCTCGGGAAAAAATTGTCCAGGATGCAACTGACGAGATCCCAGCTGCCATGCTCGGGCTGCTCCACAAGCTGGGTGTGCTGGGAGCTGCAATCGTCGTTGATGATGCTCTTCTGCATGACCGCCTCCCATTCCTTGTAGTAATGCACAACCTGGCCCTTGTTGTAGGCGCGAGCCGAAAGCAGTGAAAAGTAGAAAAGCGAACAGTGCGAAGAGCATGATTTGATTCTCCTCTTTCTCAACGCGAGGCAACCGAAAAAGAAGAAGAAAAAAAATTCACGCAAAAGTCGTTCTTTGGAGCCAATTCAGCCGCATAAACAAGAGGGTATATTGTTATACGCAAGACTATCTATGTACGTACATAGAACTACTCGTTTCATGTCCGCCAGCGCAAACAGGGCCAAGATGCACAAACGGAGCGACAAGAAGCGGGAGAGGTGCCCTCTTTGGGTCTACGACACTTTGTGGCTAAACCTGAATGCACGATATCCGCCCCCTCCCCCCCCCCCAAAAACAGCCAATGTTAGACGACGCAGTTTGTTGTCCAAAGTTTCCTTGGCCTTCTCCGTCGTGCTCACACGGGCAATGCTGGACCCCACTGACTCGACGGGCTGCATACCCCACCAATCAAGCGGGATGGCGGCGCCACACGCGCCCATGTGCCGAGCTACCCAAGCCCCATGCAGTATTCTCCGTTACAGTATATACGCCACAATGTTTTCGCATGTGCACGAGTGCATGGAATCACACCAAAGTCTCATGTCTGGACTTTGAACTGCATACTCGTCCCCCTTTCCCTTCATCTCCTGCGCTATCCACTCCGTGCATCTCTACGAAGACATCACCACGACAGATGTCATATACGTACGCGTCACACACACACACACCCTTGCTCGTCGGCACCATGCACCTGATAACCTACAGCAGTATGAGGCATAAATGCAACATGTCATGGTTTAAAAGTTCAATCAATCACCAAAGTAGACGCGTTAAATCTTGATTCCACATAGCAACACTTGCTTTGAATACAAGAGCAAAAAAAAAAGCCGACAAGGAGAGTGGAAAAACAACGTGAGTGAGGGACTTGGTGTTAGTAGTGGTAGCGTAGTCTAGCGTTCTCGGGTATGACATCATACAGTACACACTCGAGCTACTCATGCACATGTACATAGTTAGAACAAAAAGGTCAGCACGGTCCATAAAACAAAAGGCCAACTTGATCAAGTAAGTAACAATTCCGCTCGTGAAGATGAATCCATGTAGAACTACCTACTATACACTAATTTTCTAACACGTGTCTGTGTCTGTGTCTGTTCTAAAAGTACATACAAACCAACTCCATATTCATCGATGATAAAATTCACCACTAGAAATCATTCAATCATATGATATGGTATATGGGTTTACACTAAAACTATCAAATTAACAAAGATGAGACTTCAACTTTGAGTATGAGAGTGACTAGACGGCGCAGCACTCGGGCCATCGGCGCCATCTGGTGTCGCAGTATCTCGCTGGTGGGCCGCTGGGCTGGTATCACTTCGGTCTCTGCGCGCACGGGCCGTAAAGACATCGCTGAGACGGGAGCTGATCCTCCTGCTTCTCCGATCTCTTGCATTGGCAACGTTTTCTGCGCTAGCGTTTGCGCTTTCCGGATGGAGATCGCCGCTCTGGTTTCTCCGTTGCTCTCGCAGACGTCGCAGAGCACCGATGCGCTCTTCGGCCGAGGCATTTGGTAAGTGGCGGAAGGAGAGGACATCACGGAGTGCGTGGCGGCGCCGGTGTGAGGTTTCTGCTTCCGGGTTGAGCGGCGGAGCAAGTTCGCCTTCTGCTCGTGAGGCGGAAGAATCCTGGGAATCTACCGGTCGGAGATCGACACGACTACAAACCGTTAGTGAAACAAAAACAAACTGTTGATTGAGAACGACGTACCATAACGGGCAGGTACCCGAAACGTTGAGTAACCATGGATCGACGCATTCGGGATGGAATTTGTGGTTGCAAGGCAAAACGCGGAGGTCCTGGCCCTTTTCGAAATCTTCGGTACAGATGGAGCATACCAGGCTTTGGTCGTTCGAAGTCGTATCGGCGACCGCTGCGGCCGCTACACCAGCAGGCTGTGCTGGAGCAATACCCTCAATCTCTGCAGGGGCCGCTTCTTGTCGTGTTTCCGCCGCGCCTTCCGTGGCTGGCGGCGGCGGCGCTTGGGCTGCTTGGGCGGATGTTGTAGCATGGTTTGCATCTTCGTTGCTGGCGGTGGCAGGCGCTCCATTCACGTCTCTTATCTCGGCTGTCGAGCCCAATTCAACATCGGCAGGCTTGGCCTGCTCCTTTTCCCCAAATTTTACAATGGGAATAGTGTCGAGAATCGCCCTGCCCAGCCCCCTCGCCCTGCTTTGCCTCGGCCGTCCAAGCACGTTTCGTGGACCGTAGCGCTCGGGGTGGCGATGCGCTCGCACTGCGCCCGTGACGATGATGACGAGGAACAGAGCCGTGATAATTCCGGTGATACTGTACAGAATGATCATAGCGACGGCCGTCGACGGCGAGGGGCCCAGTGGGTTCTGTGTCTGGTCTTGATCGCCACCGGTATTGCCGTTGCCATTGCCATTTCCTGGGACACGGACAGTGTATTTCTTGTCGGGGGAAAGCCCGTCGATGGCTCGGAGGACAAAGCCCGAGTCGTCTTTGTGCGTCATGGAGTAGACGGGGAAGAGCTGCATCATCTCTTGGGAACTGCGGGGCTGGTAGTCGCAGTAGTCGGTCGCGGTGCTGTACAGGATGACGGCCGAGATGTTGGCCTGTTGGTAGGCCTGCTCAAAGACGGCTTGGGCATTGTCGAAGCCCGCGTAGTCGCTGGGGTTGCAGCTGATGTAGGCGATATCGTTGGTCGAGATGTTTGCGACGCTGGAGAAGTTGGTGTTGTACAGATTGCCCTTGACCTAGTGGTGAGTATTCCATGTCAGCGCCAAGCACTTGTACGCGACACTGGGTCGGGTCGCCACGAACCGAATTGGCTGCCTGCTGCGTCAAGGGGATGAGGTCGGCGACGGTGCGGTCGACGCCGTCGGCGTGGATCAGCGGCAGGGTGCCGTTCATGACATCGGGGCGGGCGGTGGACGTGTTGGAGGGCGCGATGTCGGCTGTGGCGCGGGCGGCGAGCAGGAGGCAGGTCAACTGCCACGGCAGGCGGGCGAGTCGCGCAGGCCGCATCTTGTCGAGAATGGTGGGCTGTGGGCAGCGGCAGCGGGCGAGGTGGCGGGCGTGTCTGTTATGGATGGGCGGCGGCGGCGGGCGGCGGCCCCATGGAGGAGGAGGAGGAGGGGTCGAGGGTCGGGAGGTGTGGCTCCAGTGTGTCGCTGTCCCAAGGAAACCCAGGCAATCGAGGTGGCGCGACTATATGGGAGGATGATGGCAGACGGCGATGATGGTGGTACGCCACGGCTAACATGCTTGGTGCGGAAGGGCGCGGCGACCAGGCCAGCACAAGTGCAAGTGCGTGTATGCAAAAAGGCGGATGACACCAGCACCAGCACCAGTGCCAGGAGGCAGGCAGGCCTGGATGGGATGCACACGAAGCGGAGAGGCGCGGCACTTGGCTACGCTGCTGCGCCTGCGCCCTTGGTCGTCTGAAACCGGCCGCCGCCCGCGCTGTTTCGCCGCGCATCTGCGGTTGTGCGCGCAGCGAATGGTGGCCGTGTGCAAGAGCGTCCTGTAACACGCGCAACCCAGGCGGACGTAAGCCCGCTGCGTCGTGCTTACACGTCCAGCGCCGTGTGCTTGCGCCGGCCCGATCTGGCTGACTCGATCCGGCCGTCATGTGATGCTGCGCCCCTCGCCGCCCCTCGTCGCCCTTTGTCACCCGTCTCAGTCGTGGTGTTGGTCTCGACCGGCTCCACACACGCACACCAACGAAGACGCGCACACGCCTTATTCCCGCCCGTCATGCCCACCCATGCACGCCCACTCCTGCACTCCGGTCTCGGCACTGCATCCTGCCGACACACCCTTGGCTGTATACCGCACGCCAATCATGCACACCGTCACCTTCCCCCAGCAGCCCAATCACCTCTCCAGTTGCATTCAACAGCCCCGGGACACCTGGTCAATGCCAGCCCTCCGGTGGCGCTGTAGCTGTCCGCATACAAGTCCTCATTGTTTTATGCCATTACTTACTGACCCCCGTAACGCCCGCGCCGGGGCGCCGTGTATACATACATACATTCAATACCCCTGCCAGCCTGTTCATACAACTAGGAAAAAAAAAGAGACCAACAAAAGAAAACAATGAACGCGAACAAAACATGGCCTACTACTACTACTACTACTACTGCATGGCGATTTTAGTCTCGTGCAGAACAGGGTTCGCGACGCTCACCTGACTGCGCCAGCATGACAAAGCACGCTTAGTAAGCCACACCGCTCCCACCCCGCCCTGCCGTCCTGAACGTCATGGACTGCACCTGCTGCTCAAGCAGCCCGCCAAGCGCTAGCGTGTCCATGGGGTCAACCCCCATGCGCTGCAGGTCGTTGAAGCCAGAAAGATAGAAGCCGGCAATCACCACCAGATACGACAGGATCAGAATCGACCCCTTGAAGTAGTTGCTCTTGCCCTCGCCGTACATGTACGACAGCAGGAACACGCACAGAATCACCGTCACCATGTCCCACTGCGGGAAGATGAGGGTAAACGTCTGGCTGGCCGCTTCGTGCGCGGGGATGTAGCCGCTGTGGATCGCGCTGTAAAACACCAGCGCCGGAATCTGCAAAAGACAGACTTGCAGCGCGTAGGCCGATCCAATCTCCATCGACAGCGCAATGTTGCCGTTCATCGCAAACGAGATGGCGTTCAGGAACTCGGTCGTGTTGGGCACCAAGGCAAACAAGGTGATGCCAAGGAACTTCTCGTCAATGTCTGATCCTTGCAGCACCCCGTCCACCGTGTTGACCAGGATCTCCGCAATGATGGCGTACGCAACCGTTGCACTCAACAGAATCGCCGCACTCTTTTGACGACTCCAGTTGGGTGCGTCGTGTCCTCCAGAGCCATGTCCAGGTGCCGTCTCATGCTCCTCGTGCCCTGCCTCTGTGTTGCTGCGCGTGTGAGCAGGGCGATCGCCGTGCCCCTTCGCTGACCCATGCGCAAGCTGCGCAGTCTTACGAGGCGCCCTGCTAACGTCACGTGTCGCCAGAGCTGTCGTCGTTGCAGCAATCTCCGTGATCTGGCGTGCCAATAGTTCGGCTGCGTCATCCGTGAGTCCCTCGACGTGGAACGAGTGGTGCGAGTGTGTGTCGTTATCCTTGGGCGGCACCAGGTGCGGAGTATTGCTGCCAGTCTCTGACCCGGGCCGTCGGTCATCCCATGTAGACTGCTCTCGTCTTAGACCAACCTCTTGCAACGTTTGGTTCACCATGCGCTTGTACAACTGGCTGTCACGAATATGCGCGCGATTAACCGATTGTCCCGTAGCCTGCCTGACAAACGACGAGTGGGGAAAGTCGGCTTGACTACCATGACTAAGGCTGCTCGCGCTCATCTCCAATAGTTTTCTTTCTTGGGCATCGGGCTCGGTCCATATGGTCGCAGCATGCGTTCGAAGCGTGAACAACAGACCGATGATGTACGAGAAGAACAACAATGCAGCCGCGAACCAGGTATAAGGCTTGACGGCGTCGTTGTAGAACCGGTCGTTGAGTGCTGGCGTCTGCGAGTAGTAGCATCTACGGCAATCTCGTGCCAATGGAGCATTGTGGCTGTTTGAAACACATTGGTGACAGTTGAGCTCGTGCTGTGATTGGTTAGCGACACCTTCCAACATGCAAGAGACTATCCTTACACTTCCGTAGATCTGGTAGAACAGCGTAGGCCCAAAAGCGCCAATGACGGCAAACAAAAGCATCGTGGACGTCACACCAGCCGAGCGCACATTGAACCGCTGTGTCTTACGCTTCAGAGCACCAAAACACATGGACAGGCCCGGCAGAAATAGGATACCTGCAAAGATACTGCCAATGATACTTCCCTCGACAAGCTGCGCCTTTCCCTGGCTGAGGGCCACGCAGTAGAGGAAAACCTCGACGACAGTGGAGAAGAAAGCATTGATGGTCGCGCCAACTCCCATGGACGATTGAGCCGAGATGGAGGCTACTGCTTGGCCAATAAAGTATGCCAGGGGGATAATGGACAACAGTGCAAGCGTGAAGAGCAGAAACTGATCCGTGAGCCAGAATTTGAGCTCCAACTTCTCAGCCAAGACAAAGTAGTCAAAAATGGTAAACGCCACCAGGCCGAGGAGATTGATGAGAAAGATGTTTGTGCCATCAATCGTGTACTTCCAGTACTTGATGCCGACTGCACGGTATGTGCAGAGTAGGATAGACGACGACTCTCCGGGGCGGCGCACATTGCCATTGTCCGAGTGGAACGAGAGAGCTAGGGGGTGACGGCGCAAGTGATCCAACAAGAGCAATGTCGTCTTGCCCATAGGGATCGTGAAGACAAGAAACCAACAAAGAGTCGAAACAAACAGGAGCGAGGGTGTTAGCAAGCCGTAGAAAAAGAGGAAAAATACCACTCGGCCAAGCGTCCACTTGCCACGACCAAAAAGCCTCCTCTTGGTGTTGGCAGTGTCCGTATGGTTCACGTTGGCGCGGCCATGTCTTCCGAGCAGACTCGTGGTCTCGTCGCCGGTCGAATCAACACTGTTGCGTCTGCGGCCGACTAGCGAGCTTTCGCCGCCATTAGTAGGACCGAAGAACAAACGTCCTTCTTCAATGTCCCCGCTCTGCCATTGCTCGTATTCACTGATGCTGCGACCCTCACCTTCGTCTTCGTCCAAGTAGGCCTCGTCCTGCATGAGCTTCACGTACTTGCCAAAGGGGTAGAACAGGTAGCCGGCGAGGTGGAAGAGGAGGCGCGAGTACTCTTTGCAGCTCTTGTTGAAGCCAAGCAGAGCGCATAGCAAGCCCCCAATGGCAGCCACGGCAGCCAGCCACCAGCCAAAGACGAGTGTCCAGACGAGGTTGAAGAGGAGCAGCCATTTGCTCACATAGAGGCCGGGCGATGAGTGTATGTCGGCCTCTGCGTTGCGCTGGACCGAGCGTCCCTTCTTGTAGAGGGCGGGCTTCCATATCCTGATACCAAAGGGATGCGTCACGTTGATTGCGTCCTGGCGGTCGCGTAGGGTGAAGCTCTCGGCGTCACTCAGATCGTCGGCGCCTGCACTCTCGTCTTCTGCCTGCACCGTCTCCTCACCCGACGAGCCCGGCGCCGCATCTGCATCGGTTCCTGTGGGCGGACCCGCGCTCTCTTGTTCGATTTCGTCGTCTTCGGTCGAGTCGATGCGGGTAAGCGCTGCGGGCTGGGCAGCGGCTCTGCGTCGAACGGTCGATGATTTGCGGCGCAGCGTCTGTCGCTGCTGCTTCTTCTGCAGGTCCTGCTGGGCCTGGTCGAGCTCCACCTCGTCCTCGGCATCGTCGACGCTGAACTCCTGGCCCTTTTGCGGCCACTTGGACGAGGTTGCGCGGCGGGTCATGGACGGCTTCTTGGGCTTGGTGGAGCCTTCGGACGAGGGCGGGTTCTGCTGGCGGCGGTCGAGGGCAGACGTGATGGAACCTGTGCAGGCATTAGCATGTGGCCTCAGGGCGCTCGCGCAGGTGCAGCGTCGTGCAAGGGGCGGCACCATAGCTTGAGGGTTGCATGGCAGCCTGTTGCCGCCTGCGCGCAGATTCGGCGGGCGTCGCGCTCGGCGTGGGCGTGTCGTTGGAGGGCGTCGTGGTGGCGGCGTGTGTGCTACCCTGGCGGGACGTGTCTGGTGTCGCCCTGGCCTTGGATGCGGTGGGCGTGCGGTCCTCCATGACGTGGTCGCGAGATGGCGATGCGCAGGACCGATCGATGGGCGCCGGCGGGCTATCTATTATCTGCAGGCGGGCCTTGTTTGGGGACCACGACGCTGGGAAACGTTTGGTGGACGGGCCCCAGCTCCAGGGTGTTTATGTGCACGAGTCACCAGTGCGCGGCCGTACGATGACGGCTGCTGGGGAAGGGCCAAGATGCATATCAGTCCTTCCGGTGTCCGTCTGCTGCGTCTGCTGCGTCTGCTGAGTCTGCTGAGGTGTGGTGTGGGCGGAAGCTGCAGATGACCCTGCTAGAGATGCGAGCGGCTGCGCGCCGGCCATTCACCACGACGCCTGCGCCCAACCATGGCGTATTTTGCGGGCCCTGTCTCATGCCCGATGGCACCTGCAAGACCGCCACGGAATTGACGGCACGAGTGCGAGCGCACCAGGCGCGCTGACAAGGCCGGGGCTGCTTGCGCTTGTGCTTGCACATGTACGGCCCCATGGGTTCCACCCTCGACCTATGCATATGTAATCTCTGGCTGGCCGGGCGGCGGTCGTGCCACTCATGCCAACGCCCATGCCCATGCCCATGCCCATGCCCGGCCAGTGGCGGTGCACCCGCCGCCGTCTCTGCCACATGCGGCTTGGCGAAACGCGCACGGAAGGCGCTGGTGGGGCGGACAGCTTCCACCTTCCGCCGTGCCAGGCTCCTCCCGGCAAAACCATTAATCCGCCCGTCGCAGCTTCGGAAGCTTCCACCGTGACGGCGTCTCGTCTCGTCGACGGACAATCGCCCACGCCCGCACCACCGCCATCGCCCCATCCCCATCGCTATCCCCCCCCCACACGCGCCCTTCCTCTCCGCCGTCCAAGCGTCGCCTCGTCTCCCATCGTGGCCGCGCATTCTTGCATTACCATTTCCCCTCCCCCGGCTAGTCTACACACCGCGGCCGGCGCCCGCCACAGCCATGGCGCTCGATACCTTCTTCCACAACAAGATCGAGGCGATGAAGCTCGAGATCATACAGGGCCAAGCAAAACTACGACGACTCGAAGCCCAGCGCAATGACTACAACTCACGGGTGCGACTACTGCGCGAAGAGCTTGGCCTTCTCCAGCAGCCGGGGTCCTATGTCGGTGAAGTCGTCAAGGTCATGGGCACCAAGAAGGTCCTGGTCAAAGTGCACCCCGAGGGCAAATATGGTATGTATCAACACGGCATAACGCCACGCCAGTGCTCTAACCGGACCAGTCGTCGATGTCGCCGACAGCGTCGACATCAGCAAACTCACCGCCGGCAAACGCGTTACTCTACTGAGCGACTCGTACAAGCTCGAAAAGCTGCTGCCCTCCTCGGTCGATCCGCTCGTCTCTCTCATGATGGTCGAAAAGGTGCCCGACAGCACATACGACATGATTGGTGGCCTGGACCAGCAGATCAAGGAGATCAAGGAAGTCATCGAATTGGGTCTACAACATCCCGAACTCTTCGAGTCGCTTGGTATTGCTCAGCCCAAGGGTGTCTTGCTGTACGGCCCACCCGGAACAGGAAAAACACTGCTTGCGCGTGCCGTTGCCCATCACGCCGACTGCAAGTTCATCCGAGTGTCTGGTAGCGAATTGGTCCAAAAGTACATTGGTGAGGGCAGTCGTATGGTCCGAGAACTGTTCGTCATGGCACGAGAACACGCGCCCAGTATCATCTTCATGGACGAAATCGACAGTATTGGATCAAGTCGTGTCGAGGGAAGCTCTGGAGGTGATTCCGAGGTGCAGCGCACCATGTTGGAGCTGCTGAACCAGCTAGACGGTTTCGAGCCGACCAAGAACATCAAGATCATCATGGCTACCAATCGACTCGACATCCTTGACCCCGCACTATTACGACCTGGCCGTATCGACCGAAAGATTGAGTTCCCACCGCCAACCGTGGAAGCGCGTGCTGATATTCTGCGGATTCACTCGAGGAGTATGAACTTGACGCGTGGAATCAACCTCACAAAGATTGCGGAGAAGATGAACGGATGTTCTGGTGCAGAGCTGAAGGGTGTTTGCACCGAGGCTGGTATGTACGCTCTTAGGGAGCGAAGAGTACACGTCACTCAGGAGGACTTTGACCTGGCGACGGCCAAGGTGCTGAACAAGCACGACGACAAGGCCACGAGTCTGAGCAAGCTGTGGAAGTAGGCCATGCAGTGCAGAGCGCTTGCATCGTACTGGATGTGCCAGTGCTTACATCTAGATCATGTACAGCAATCAAATGGTATAGAATTCTGGTATACGCAAATAATGACTACCATATATTTCATGAATTTGAACTCTGACAGGGGTGAAGTTAGAATCTACATGGGCGTGGGATAGTACATACGTCATACAAGGCGCGGAGTGACTCCGCTCAACAGCTTCTTGCGCACCATCGCCTCGCACAATGCGGATCTTGTTCAACATAGAATGCACAGCTTATGTTGCATGAGTGAATCGTACGATTACTCACGTCAATGGCGCTGCTTTCTTATCGCAGGCGATAACCAACGACTCGAGCACTCTTTCTAACGTTCACCTACAACATGCTGTATACCCCACATCCAATGTCACATTACCCCACTACATTGCGCGAACGGAAACGCCGATTGCGCCATGGGGTAACAGTGGGAAGCATTACACTGAACATGCAGGCCAATCCAAGTATTGGCATTTCCGTCACCCAAGGTCCCTTGGCACTACCGGTGTTCACTCTTGTCTTGCCACCGTCCCGCTTTTCCTTCAACCTTGGTAATTGACCTGTATTTACACAACACGCCGTGTCAACGCCTTTTCCCCATTACAACCATCTATTTCTGCCCATTCAGGATAATAAGAATGGCCGACAACGACGTCCCAGCAACGCAACCTGCGCATGACACGCCGGGTAAAAAGGGCATTTCAACGCATACCACGACAGGAGACGAAGCGATACCTGTTAGTGTTCTTGAAGATGGGTCGCTGGATCCCGTATATGAAGCCAAGGCCAAGGTTCTCAATAAAGCCATTCAGGATATAGGCATGGGGAGATACCAGTGGCAGGTGTGTTTTCCACTTTGAATACCCCGACAGTCTGGATACAACATGGCATGTTGTTACTGAAAGTCTATTACCCGATTTCACTAACAATCCCAGCTCTTCATTGTGATTGGCTTCGGATGGGCAATGGATAATCTCTGGCCAATTGTAACTTCGCTCATCTTCACGCCTGTCAGCAACGAGTTCCGCCCTACCAGGCCCCCTTTGCTGACCCTGTCCCAAAATATCGGTCTTTTATTCGGCGCCGTGTTCTGGGGTTTCGGCTGCGATGTCTTTGGTAGACGATGGGCTTTCAATCTTACCATTGGAATCACGGCTGTGTTTGGAATGGTGGCTGCTGGAAGTCCGAATTTCGCTGCCATTGGAACCTTTGCTGCGCTCTGGTCGGTCGGTGTTGGTGGTAATCTTCCTGTCGATTCTGCCATTTTCCTCGAGTTCCTGCCTGGATCTCATCAGTACTTGCTGACGATACTCTCGATATATTGGTCGCTAGCACAGGTTTTTGCTACGCTTGTTGCTTGGCCATTGCTAGGGAATCTGACCTGCCAGCAGACAGCAGACGTATGCACAAAGGATCAGAACATGGGATGGCGATACTTCATCCTCGTAAGTTTTTTTTCTGAATATTCATATACGTATACACTAACATGGATATCCAGACCATGGGCGGCGTAGCACTGATCATGTTTGTTGGCCGGTTTGCGTTGTTCACCATCTTTGAGTCGCCAAAGTTCCTCATGGGCAAGGGTCAGGATTCAGAAGCTGTCCGCATAGTCCACGAAGTTGCTCGCCGCAATCGTAAATCTTGCCCGTTGACCCTAGACGATCTGGAAACTTGCAATAGCCTTGCTCAAACAGATGCTACTCAGCACCAAACCGCCGTCACTACCACCAAGGCAGCACTGAAGCGAAACCTCGAGAAGCTAGACAGCTCTCACGTCAAAGCCCTCTTCGCCACAAAGAAGCTCGCCTTCTCTACCAGTACCATTACTATAGTCTGGGCATTCATCGGCCTCGGGTACCCTCTTTACAACGCCTTCCTACCCTACATCCAAGCCACGCGAGGCGCAGATTTCGGCGACGGCTCCACATACATCACTTACCGCAACAGCCTGATAATCGCCGTTCTGGGCGTCCCCGGCTGCATACTCGGTGGCATTCTAGTCGAAACGCCTCTTATCGGGCGCAAAGGCACACTGGCCGCGTCCACGGTCCTCACAGGCGTCTTCCTGCTTTGCTCCACCACGGCTCTCACTTCTGACGCGCTGCTCGGCTGGAACTGCGCCTACAATTTCATGAGCAACATCATGTACGCCGTGCTGTATGCGTATACACCTGAAATCTTCCCGACCAAAGATCGCGGGACGGGCAATGCCATTACCGCGAGTGCGAACCGTGTTTTCGGTATCATGGCGCCGATTGTGGCCATGTTTGCGAATCTCGAGACGAGCGCACCCGTCTATGTGTCTGGCGTGCTGTTTATCGCTGCGGGGCTGTTGGTTCTGGTTTTGCCGTTTGAGAGCCGGGGGAAGGCGAGTATGTAGACTGGTGCATGTTGCGAAGGGGCAGAATCTAGAAGCTTGATTGGGAGTGTCTAATGTCAGAGCGATTAGCCAATGATGCAGAATAGCGTGTCTTTGTATATCATGTCCTGTAATGACTGCCGTTAGTAGAGTCGGTATGTTCGTGTAGTTTCCAGCATATCACCAATCTTTTCTGTACGATGCATGCTGTCTTAGAAAGACAACGATGTTGTTGGATTTATCGTCTCCGTCACACCTCTGCGCATCTTGCCGTCGTGCACCTCGCCGCTATGCATCCGGGCTGTAGTACCTCTACTCACAGGCGGATGTAGCGGTGAGTCTTCCTTGCCTAGAATATATATAAATAGTACTCCCTATAGTCAGATAGGGAAGAGACAAGCTCTCAATCCAACACATGTTATTTCCGAATCTCTGCAGCGACAAACTATATATATTGCGACTTGTGTATTTTGGGACGGGGCTATATAACAAGCTTAGTCTGGTAAGCTGACATGTGCAAAGAAAACGTATGACAACGCTTGAGCAGGGTAGGGCGATTTCAATACATGTGACGCAAAGGAATAGTGGGGAACGTGTGCTGTTCTCGTTGAGTGGAAGTATGTACTATGACTACGCTACCTCACGCCTTCACTGCACATGCTCGATTGGCTGTCGCGATGGCGCCTCGTTTCCCAGGTTGTCAGCAGCGACGTTCTCCACGAGCATGGTTTCAGCTCGACTTTGAAGACGAGTCGACCGTGCTCGGCCGTGCACTCGAGCACATCTGATTGCGAGAGTTATACAAGACTTTTCGTGAGGAATCTACTCAACTACAATAGCACTACAGATATGCGACTAGGGGCTTAGGTATATGTTGGGTATGTGTGTATCAATCGATATTCCACAAGGTATCCTTGGTCGCGCCACACGCCAGCTGAGGGGGGGGTTGGCGCTGGACAGCTCCACGCAAAGGTCTGGCTCAATGTTGACTTATATTTTTGCGTATAACGCCACTGCAGGGCTGCAAATAACTAAATAGAAAAAATACCTGATTCTCATAGTGTGTGACGCGAGTGTATCCTATCAACACATGAATGCCACTGTACCGTCTATTGCGGAGACGCTCCTTCAAGCCACTCGTCTACCGAACTACATACCGTTGTAGGATATCTTGAACATTCAGAGATGGAGCGATGAAGAATCCCGGCTGGATTCAAGAAACATGTTATTCGCTTTCACCTGAGCTGTATTCGGGTCCTATGGAGGAGCGAGTTTGACGAATGGAAGCAGAGAGTTGCACCTCCTATTGGTAAGAAGCGATAATGTCCCTCTACTCGGCAGTCTGAACGTAACCCAAGCAGTGTGGCTACCCAGTGCACTTTTACGCAGGACGAGGAAACATCACTCACCGGACAGACGAATCCCGGGCGGCGGCGGCGGCGATGCTAGCAGTAAGTACGTACTCCTCCTCTCACGACTTGCCGGGGCCCCACCTGGCGCGCCGCAACCCAAAAAACCACCGAAAAGCACTTTTCGGAAATTTAGCCTTGCAGGTGGGCATTTGGCAACCTAGTGTTGATATTGCGAGGGAGCAAGGATGGTGGATAAAAAAGGCTACTTGGCAAAGTATGCCCAGGGGAGGGGGGGGCTCGGCCCGAAAGACTATGTAAGTAGCTGCACTTTCTGTCAAGGTCGGCTGGTTGCCCGGATCGAGCAGCTGTACAGATCATACGTGGGCATTGGGGCGCACAACTATATGTAGACTTGCGTAGACTTGCAGAATACGCGCCAGGTGTACCCTTGGGCGTGGTACGTCACGCGATGTCGTTATGTGCTGGGCGAAAGATGGGCATGCTAGGGCAGACGGGGTAAAGAAAAAGAGTTGTTGCGTGGGTGGTTGGAATTAGTTGGCACGCACAAAGCTCATGATGGAGACGTCTGCGGAGAGTAGTGGGTGTGGAAAGAACAAAGTTTATAGTTTCCGTGTGTAGAGGCCATGAACTAAGTAGTTGATATATTCCCCCGCAGAGGAGGGTCAACACCCGCCTCAACACATTACTGCAATTCGCATTATACGTCGGCCTGCTCGACAGGCGCTGTTTATTCGTCGTCTTCGGCATCGACAAGAGTCTTTGTCCATTGGCGGGCTGGCACCTTGCGCTTGAACAGAATGTCGATCTCACGGTAGGATCGGTTCTTCATCTCAGGCAGGTAGATGTATGCGAGCGCGAAACAGACAAAGCCAGTACCGGCCCAGACGTAACCGCACTTGCCACCAAGGTTGGCCTCCTGTGTAGTGGGTTAGCAGTTGCTCGAAGCAGTGATTAGAAGGGGAGTGTCTTACGTCGGGGTTGAGCATGTAACTCGAGAGGAAAATGCAGGGAATGTTGACAACGTAGTAGCATCCACGTCCAATACCAGTGGTAAGGGGCCTGAGACGGATGGCGGATGTCTCGCCGATAATGACCCACGACGCGGGCGCCGGTCCGAGGGTAAAGAGGACAGAGACAATGAGACCCAGCGAAGCTTGTGCCAGGGAAGCGGCCGTGGACTTGCCGCAAGAGGCGGCAATACCAAGGGCAATGAGGAAACCCACGTTGATTGCAGATCCCCACACGTAAATGGTTCGGCGGCCGAGATACGAGGTCAGGATCCAGGATAGCATGACGAAGATCATCTGCAGAGCTGAGGTAATGAGACCGAGAGCGAAAGCCGTGTTTGTGGCCATGCCTGCCTGCTCGAAAAAGTAGACGGCTTGGTTGGCAATGAGGTTACCAGTCAAGTTCTGTGCGGCGTACACACCGCAGACGATGGCAGTTCGGTAGCGGTCGACACCCTTGAACAGCTCGGTGATGTTGGGGTCCTTGACCGACTTCTCGAGATCAATGGTACGGCGCATCATGGCAACGGCTTCCTTGAGGTTGAGCCTCGACTTGCGTCCCAGGCGTCCAACTGCTTTTTCGGCCTCTTCGTAACGGCCCTTGCGGACAAGCCACCAGGGAGACTCGGGAGCGAGCCAGATGAGAATGGCAAGAGGGGTGGGGAACATCCACTGAAGCGCAATGGGGATTCTAGGCATCTGTTAGCATGATTTGTTTGCGTAGAGCACTGGAATGCATACCTGTAAGCACTTGCGTCTGCCCGCTGGTTGTAGTGGTAAGTGACACCAGTGACAATGATGGATCCAATGGCCCAGAACATTTGCAACATCTGGGTAGCGGGAGCTCGCAGCTGAATGGGTGTAATCTCACTGCAGTAGGCAGGTGCGTTGGCAATGAAGATTCCCCATGGAAGACCCTCGAGAAGCTGGGCGACGAACATGACGGGGAGCGAGTTGGCAAAGTAGAAGATGAAGATGAAGGCGTTCAAGGTCATCAGTCCGGTAATGGTCGCCCAGCGGTATCCAATGCGGCTGGTAAGGGGACCAGCCAGACACACGCCGATAATGGCACCAAGGGGACCACCCATCTGGAGGGCAGACTGCCAGCTAGCCACAATGACCCACTTGTCGTTGACAGGGCTGTGGACACCGTACTGCTTGGCGAAGGCGGGGAGGGCAATAAAGTTTCCCATCAAGAAGACACAGTAAGACTCCATGATCTGGAAGCCGTGTTAGCTGGCATTCTCCAGGAGGGGGGTGGGAAAAGAGAGGTGACTGACAATGGTGCAGGACATGATAAAGGCCCACAGAGCAGCCATGGGGTAGGCGGCGACGGCCTGGGGCACGCCCATGTTGTGCTCAGCATTCTCGGCCTCGATGGCAGCGGCCTTGTCCTGGACAGCCTGTGATTTCTCGTCGAGGGCAATGTCGTCGACATGGTAGATTGCCTTTTCGATGTGGGCATCGCCGCCGGGCGACTTGGACTCGACGTTGTCACCCATGCTTGCAGAAGGGAGCCGACACAAGCAGCGTGGTGTGGTGTTTGGGAGGGCGGGTTAGCAGGGAGTGAGAAGCAGAAACGAGCATTTGCAGCCCGGTGTCGACGTCTTTAAATCACAGAGGCGCCCAGGGCCAGGGCGTCGGAGTGGTGCAGGAATGCATTGGCCTGAGGCTGCTCGCGGGATTCCATCAATCACAGGCGCGTGGGCGTCGAGGTGGCCCGAGGCCAACGGGCGGGCGCTGTGTGATTTGCCTGTCACGAGCTTGTTCGCGCCAGAGGGCACTTGGCGATGCTTTGGCTAGTCGAGTTCAACCCACCGGGAGAGTCCAGATGGAGATAGCGGCTCAGGTGGTGGCTGATGGTGGTTGGGCCCGCCGGCTTAGTAACCTATCACAGCCGGCGTCGCGGGGCGGCACCCAACACGCCCCCATCCCCGCACGCGAGTGAATTTATCCGGCCCCGCGCCAGCTTGATGCTTGATGCCTGGGGTTGCCCACCGACGTCCCCGGACCTTTGCCTTGCAACCACCACTCCCGTGTCGAACCCAGGCGAGTCAACTCAACTCAATTCACCTCCACTCACCTCCACTCAACACGGCCAGGCCCTCATCCTGCTCACACCGTGCCGACGCCCGACTCCCACATGCTGTACATGTCGCACATTCGCCTGGCTATCCCCCCACCCCGTACCCCGTACCCCGACTCCAACCGCCATCTCCATGTTTCACACAACCACAGCGGCCCCCCTGACACCCACGCCACCTCTAACCCGTCCCGGCTCACACCAGGCTATTCCCCGTAATGCGTCCGCTGGCGCCGGTCGTGATCCAGTATTCGGGACGGAACAGGCGCGACCCCATTGCCAATGTGACGCCCGAAGGCCGCGCCATTCCCGGGGACAATCAGTCGTTTGCGCTCGCTGGGTTCGTCCGCGCCATGGGTGAGGCGGATGACTCGATGAACCGGTTGGCGCAGCAGAGTGGATATCTGGAGAAGGTGTGGAGCGCTGTCAAATAAGAGGACGACAAGGACACATTGCGAAATCAGGGGAAAATAACACGACGCGATCAACACGAGGATAGCTGGCATTGGGGCTCTCGGGCGTAAGTATAGTAGGAATGCTAAGCGAGTCAGCTTGAGATGAGTCAGCTTGAGAGAAAAGCATAAGGGGCACGGGAGCGCCCAGGCCATGCAGATTATTCTGGAGGAAGGCAGACCGGGATTTCCTTTCATGTTCAAGGTCCGGCGAGGCGGCAGGCTCGACATGTTTGGGTGAGGGCTGCTGCTAGCGTTTGTTAGGCTTGTGTATCGTATGCAAGATAAGGACTGACCAGCTGTTTTGTCAGGGCCTCACCGTTCCTCGTGGTTGTACATGTGCACAAATGTTTGGATAATGTGCGTCGTCGTTTCTTGATATGTCGATTTTTGTTCGGTACCATGCTCTCTCAGCTGCCTTATCATTACCCATGAGGGCGGCTGTATAAAGTATAGTAATCTACCCCTCCACCGGGGGTAGTGGAGAAGCAAGCGCTGGTGTGATTGGCGGCGTGTCCAGCATCAAGGGTGCAGCGCCGCGTGGCCATTGTGATAACAAGATGGGTACAAGGAGCGCGTAGACGAAAACAGTGGGCATTCACTGGGGAAATGGAACGTGGAGACGTGGAGAGATCGACTGCAACAGTGGTCGGGGGGTGCAACAGGCCCAGACTGGTGGCTCGTACCAGGCCGTCGGAAAAAGAAACCGGTCTTAGGCAAGGCTTGTGTCTGACTGCAGCCGACTAGCGCATGTCGCGGGCAGCCGAGCGTGTGAAGGAAATGGAACCATGGTGCAAGCTCCGCCGAGGGGCGCTGGGCATCAGCAGATGGACAGACGTTGGAGAGCAGTCGGCGGTCTTGCAGCTCATGTCGTGAGAGAGTGGCGCTTGCTTGGCGGGTCACGCCGTGCAAGCGCACGCCGCTGATGGCGCCCTCGTGGTAGAAATACACCGAGATCAAGATGGCGGGCAATCTGCACAGAGGCGTGGTCATCGGGACGGATGATACGGTTGGTGGCGCTGCACTTGCGCGGGATGTACCTGCCAAACTGTTAGATTGCGCAATTCCCTCGAGCCCAAGGCATAATTTACAGGTCCACGAGTTCTCCGCGTTCGTTCTCCATTTTTAGCCAGCTGTGGCGCTTTTCGGGCGGGCTACGGCCAAAGTCAGCGGCGCGACCAACTTGCGACTGCGAACACGCACGTAAAAAGTGTAGGGAGCGTGCCAAATGTCTAGATTATGCGACTGACGGCGCCTCGATTTTTCCATCACTGCGTGTGGTAAGCGATGTGGTCTGTGCGCCATGACATCCACCTGGTGCCATTCAAGTCGCACTTGGGCCCCTCTTTTCATGTATTCGAATGCCGCCATGTTAGATGGTAGCTGTGGAGTAGTCGTTGTTCGAAAATTCATGAAGAGGTAGGTACGTCATTGCAAGGATCTAGTTTCCCCTGAGCGTGGATTACATAATAATCAGAGACCCAAATATCGAAATGGAGATAATCTAAGAATCTCATCTGTCTTCTTCACATTCTTTATTATATTTCAAACCACAATGCGTGGTCTATACACATCTTTAGTAAATCTAGATATCAGTTGGTATTCATGAGAGTCATGAACAAATTCAAGTAAACTACTCAAGTCATTATATCGAACCCCTGAAAGAGATTTCAGGTGGGAAATGAGTATGTGTCTATCCAAGCGTTTCATCATTATTAGCATCAGTGTTATGGCCTTACTTGATGAGTCATGGCGCCTTAGCGGAGAATCATGTACGTAGCCCAGAGACCGGAGGTGACCACCACATCGTCACTGTATCATACCTGTTCTCACCACCTTCTTAATGCTTACTTTTTGGTCATGTGTATTGCGCCACGACAAGCAGACCCAGAATTCCGAAATTGGAGGGGGGGGGGGGTAAATTCTTGTGAACTTATGTGCCACGTGGTGCTATCATTTCAAAGTTTGGTTCGCAAGCCACCAAAACAAGCCACAGAAACCCTATCTGCATATGTTTTATGGCCAACATACACATTTCTTTGTAGGATGATCCAAAGCTGTGGCATACTTTCTAGAAAACAGTCGACTTGCCACCAGCACAGCGAAGTTGGAGAGAGGTGGTTGTGCACGAGACGACAGGGCCCAGCAACCACGCTCACCCCCAAGCTCTGACTGAGCTCTGACGCTACACCGGCTTCAGAATAGAGACAGACAGGAAGCAACCAGGCAAGTCTCTCTGAAACCTCCGGACTATCACCTCTTTACCATATTGTATGCTACGCAGTACCCAACATAGTCCGAAACTATATCGTGACGTAGACATGTCAACATCAGACTCACGTCAGCGCTCCAATATACAAATCGTATTAAGCAGCTACATAGATGCTATAGTTTAGCTAATGCACTGCTTTTATGAGGAAAAGTGGGAAGAGTCCTTTACTATGAACGTTGTTTGCTATCCGAGTGATGTATCAAGTAAGAAAGATATTACTAAATTCCCATATCCTATTGCTGTTCTTGGTAATGAACTCAGCATTTGATATTTTTTCAAGTACATGAAAATAGGTATTGAGAGTGGAGGAATGTTCTGGGTTTCGCATACTTTTGACCATATCTTCGGAGAGAATAAATGTTGTCTTTATCCTCTTCATTGGAGTTTGGTTCTAAGTTTAAGTATAGTTGTATTTGTAGTAATGCAAAAGATGCTTGTATAGAAGACCTGAACGTTTCATAACAACCAAAAACGGGCTTACACGTAAGAAGAACAACCTTTTGATATAGTCCTGTTTAATATAAAATAGTGGATGTATGTACTCCGCAGATTGTGGTGAGCTCATTAAACAACTTTATTTTCAGTCTAACAATTGGCCGCTATTTCCGTAACTTCATAGGCACTCGTACAGAGGAGGGAATATGAGATATATAAGAGGTACTTCCTCCGTGTCTAGAGATTCATCCATCACTATTCTATCAAACACTGTTATCTCACACACTCTGTCTTCTCCAATCAACGCCAAAATGCAATTCCCTCAATTCTCTCTTCTCAGCATCTGCCTCTTCGCAGTGGCGGCGTTTGCCAACCCCAATGCCGAACCTATGCCGCAAGAGAAACCAGCCTGCTGCGCCGCTCAAGACCCATCCCAGGCCTGCAACTTCCCCAAATACGGATACATCTGTAAATAAATACAGAAACATCTCTCAGGGCGACAGAACCCAGACCGCTAGGGAGCACCAGTAACCAAAGGGCATAATCAGGGTAAAGCCTTCACTGACGTTAAGAGAGAGAAAAGAGGCTAATCTTCATATCCAAGTGTCGTATAGCTGCAAGGACAAGAGTCGCAACATGTCTCAGCATAGATAGTACTAAGCAAATTCAACTCATGCTTAGGAGAATGATGTTGCCACTTTGAGAGCTGAGTGTCTGATCATGTGACTTTTCTAAGCCTCACCACCTTACCGCTATAGTAAAGCTATCCCCTGTTTCATGTGTTTGGTATGCATCAGTGCCACCCTTTACCTTAGCAGTATTAACATATAAGTGTGCTTTTTATTCTTATATGATAGAAAACCCGTTATAGGTGCTGGTGAACGTCTTAGCCTTAAAGTGTGAAGTGAGTAGTATACTAAGAACTTAGGAGCTATGTACAAGAATAATTGAACATATGCTATACTAAAGATTCATTGCATGATATTTTTCTCTTCATCAGCTATTTGGACTCTGTGTTTGGAGACAATTCTAGTTCTCCGTTCTGGCAAAGTATTCCTTCAAGGCTGTTTTTGGTACCCAATTATCTCTGTCTTAGAAGACCGCGCGTACCTTGCTTATCCGCGCAATGGCTCTCTTAGAAGGGTAGCTTTATCCAAAGCCAAGCACTATGAGGTGCAGCGTCGTTTATCAATACAGTGTCGTAACGTTATTTGAAAATCGAACATGGAAATATGTAGATATTGAGGGCTATAACCAACAGCATCTTAAGAGTCTTTATTTTTGTCTGAAAGCCTTTTACAGTAGCGGTAGATGACGGATTTCGGAATTAGGGTTTGGCAGACTCTCATTTTGACTCAAGACTTGGCATGCCATAGACGAAGGAACTTGAATGAAAAATTTAACCCAATTGATCAGGAGAAAGACTTAACCGCAGGACATTGATGTTAAGTCAATGAATTATTGTACGAACGTGCCTCATTGCGTTAAAGCGCTGGGCAAGTCATACTTAATGCGCCGCGGCATGGAGCATGCGCACACCAAGTAGAAGTGAAGTTATTTAATAAAATATGCATAGCGCATATAATACGAGACTAGCAAGCTAGTGAAATCATCACAAGAGCCTCAAAGTAGTTGCATATGAATCTCATAAATGCTCCCTAATCTGGCAATACGCTTTGATGGTGATAAATACAGCTGAATCTTTAAATTGCTCTTAAGAGAAAATGTCTTAGACTCCGCAATTCATTCACTACAGCTAGAAAATCCTCAACCGATATTTGCGTTGGGAACAACACATACCTAATACCAGGTGAGCAATTGAATACACGTGTTGAGGATATCATACATTCAGTTGGGATTCTACATCGTACTGGCAAAGACCGTCGTTACCAGTCTCCCACCAATAGTCGCAGGTACAAGGTTTGCCTATATCGCAAGGGTCGGTAATACAGGATGCGGTGTCATCTCCATAGACGTGAGAAGCACCGAATGCAATGCATCCTAACAAGTAGAAGATTGATTCCATATTGACAGATAAGAGGTAGTTTAGTAACAAAACAAAGGTTAAATTCTGCTGATGGGAATCTAGATTCAGTTGGACGATCCTCACGCGTCTGTATAACGTATTTGGTCAAGAAGAAACCTAACGTAGTATATATACATGTATGATATACCCGCGAATGTGTTTACCTTTTGAGCGAAATTATTAACGGGCCTAATAGCAATTAGAACGCAAATGTAAGACATAAGCTTACTTCATAGCTTCGCACTAGTAAGTGTTTTATCATCATACTGGCGGTGAGAGGCCAAGATTCGCGTTGAAGACTTCTTAACCTTCTTAACCCAACTCTTCGCTTGACTGCATACGACAGTATTGATAGGTGATGCATCTATAATTGCGTTAACGAGAAATACCCCATCGCTAGTGTAGAAAGCTCTTGAAATTCCATTTAAATGCCCTAGACCGAAGTTATGGCCTCGATCTTCACTGTAGCCCTAGCATCTTGTCTACCCTTGCAGCGCTCGGCGATTAAAATTAACTCGCTCAAGACAGTTTACCTGAATTGGCATAGAACTGACCGAGAATCTTACATAACCTTTAATCTTCCTAGACAAGGTTAGCTGATTCTACGATATAATCCTGGCGACACTATATACAAGTAGTTAGTTTATGCAACATTTGAGCTGAAAAGAAGTCTTTTCTACAAGTTATACAACTTCTATTGTCTTATAATGAGGCAACAATAATGTCTCTTCCTACGCCTCTAATACGTCTTAGTTTTATAAATAATGTAGAGAGAATTGAGTACGCAAATTTGTTACATACTTAACGCTCAGCGAGTGTAGCCTCAGCATCCCCAATTCTAACCTCACTTGATAGACTAACGTTCTAGTTATTCAAGTGATATTCCTTGAAATTAAGAATTTTGGGAGACCACCGCCGTTTTGAGCGGCATAGAAAGGGAACGGTTCCCAGTTGTCCTATACTAGCTGCAGATTCGATGAGTGTGGGTGATTTTAATGCTAAAGCTTAGGATATATTTGTTGAAAAGGAAACTAGTATCAAGCCAGTATAAAAATGCTCGCAGTCGAGTCTTGTACATGGTGCAATAAAGTACTTAACTCCAGCCCATGTGTCTTGGAGATATCATGTCTTTAGGTAATCATATGGTGATGCCTTATGGGATATGACTGAGTATCTCAAGCACAACTATTTCATTCTTGTCTTGAAGCACTGGATTAGTCACAAAAGTATCTAGTTTAGTCATATAGGTATTCTTCTTAGTCATATGATCTATCGGGCCTCGGCGAGTGGTCACCATCTTTGTCAGAGTATGCCTAGCCTCGATTGACCCATTTGCAGACCTTCTCAGCGCTCACATAATACATGTCCCCGAGGATTGTGTTGAATACAAAACTTTCCATTGTCTCCTCTTCGTTTTGAAACGTACAAGACGCAGAATCCTTTCCACAGACATCATGGCTTTCACTGTGCTAACTGATCATGACGTCAAACAATTACTGGGCGATCTCACATCTAACGATACCCGCGAACTCATCACTGGCTTGCAGGAAATCCTTGCAGCCTACTCGTGTCAGAATGAGAAGCAATTTCAGCCTGAACGTGCTGTTGTTTCTCGGAAGAATGGGAAAAGGAGCCTATTCATGCCTGCTACAACACCACAGTCAGTCGGTGTCAAGATCGTGGGCATTGCTGATTCTTCCAACCCGATTGTTGCCTCGTCGGAGCCATCGCCACCACAGCCAGGAATACGCAGCGTCCTTACCTTGTGTAATGCTGGAGGAGAAGCTGTTGGTATACTGAATGCCGCTGAGCTTACCGCTTTCCGCACCGCCCTTGGATCTATGCTTCTCTACCAGTTTCGTAAAGAGACGGGCAATATCGTGGTCTTCGGCTCAGGGAAGCAAGCGCAGTGGCACATTCGCTTAGCTGTGTCGCTACGTGCGCAGGATATCCGCAGGATTGTTATCGTCAATCGAAGCCGCGAGCGAACACAAGGGCTAATCACAAGCCTAGTCGAAGACTCACATTCACCCTGGCCGTCAAATATCGAATTGTACCAGTTTGACGAATGTAACAGAACCCTCGAGGACGTGGTTGCGGCTGCGGACGTCATGTTCTGCACCACTCCAGCCACCGAACCTCTTTTTCCCGCGAAATTTCTCACTTCAGAAATGTCTCGGAACAAAACTCGATACATCTCCGCTATCGGCTCATATCGGCTGGACATGGCAGAAATCGATCCGGAGCTCCTCAAGGTTATTGTGGATCCCTCTGGAATATTTTCGCAGCAAGTATGGGAAGGACATATCGTGGTTGACACGCGCGAAGGTTGTCTGCTTGAGGCTGGAGAACTTGTCAGTGCAGGTATAGATCAGAGTAAGATGCTTGAGGTCGGACAAATTATAGGATCCAACGGTGTCGCTTCTGTGCATACTGAGTGGCTTGAAAGCGGCTTCGTCGTATACAAAAGCGTCGGAGTTGGTGTTATGGACATAGCAGTGGGGCAAAAGCTTCTACAACTTGCAAAAGCGAAGAGAATTGGGTTGACTTTGGCAGCGTTTTAGAAAGTAGGTCATGATGTATTTGATGAGAGGTCTGGGTTACTGTGTTATCTCAATCCATAGACAATCACCTACATGGCCACAGGCTGAACAGACTCTTTTCCTGGTTTCAAAGATAAATGTTGCAGAGTGTTGCTAGATAAATACTAGGAATAAGATCCAGCTGTTGAACCGGTTGTCAAACGGAGAGGAACAGAACCTTTATCGGTTGTGCAGTGTTGGAATAAGTACTCCTGGCAAAGACCAAGCGTGCTCATTGGATCATGACTACGGCAACAAAGTAGCATCATGACCATCAATATTGTTTGTGGTGGTTGAGGCTCTCCAGGTATATTCGTATGCAGTATAATACTTGTGACCAAGGCCCAGGTATTTGGGATCTGATGCAAATATAATATATTAGTGTATGTTGAACGCGTAATGGTTAGAGATGCCGAACAAACCTCATGTTGCAGAGCGCGTGTGATCCGAGACATCTGACCAACCTGAAGTTCTTTTTGCGTCAGGCCTATACCTTGATTCGCTAAATTCATCCTCGCGAGTCGACATTCCTCGGTGTACACGTCTTCCGCACTTGCCAGTGTTTCTCTCACGTAGTTGGCCCGCTCCCAAGCCGGCCATTGTTTCGAATGTTCTCTGATCTTGGAAAGGAATTTGGGGAGTTGTTTGACCCGATTCAGTGACTGCTCATGTGACAATACTGCTGATGCGCCCAGGTCGGAAGTATAGTAGGCCAACAACGCATCGCTCAAATCATTGAAGCCGAGACGTCTGCTACATTCTACTAGACGGTTGAGTCGCTCCATCTCTATAGCATCGGGCTTCAGCGGTGTTTCGTGTTCATTGTCCATTGCTATTGGCGCGGTTGCCGTCTTATGGGCCAAGTGACCGCCATTGTCACTAACCTGATCGTGATCTGGTGAACCGATATGTTGCGGGAGCGATGTATCTGAGGAACCTTGGTTATGGTCTGGGATTTTGTGGTCTCTTTCCATCAACGATGAGGGGTCTTGAGAGCGCTCTAACACGGGTTTAGATGCTCTAGAGGCTGTCAGAAGCCAGTCAAGGTCTATATATTGACCTTCTGTGGAATACTGGGACAATGGATTCAGCTGAGGAACAGTGCTACTTTGCGGAATCGCGCTCAAACCCGATTCGACGGCGGTATCAGATCCTAAGAGTGACTTTGGAGCATGATTAACAACAAATGTGACATCGCTGGAGCTTGTGCCCAACCCGTCCGACATAGGCCCAGATGTCATTGTCGGCAAGACTCCTGGTAATACACATGACGATATTGAATCGCCGCATGGGCACCATGGCCTGGATGTATCGCTCTGTATCGAAGCACTGGTAAAACTCTCAAGCTGCTCCTCTAGCTGGCGGATGCGGGACTTTAGCTTTTCACCTATCTTCCATGGTGAGATCTTGTGTGTCAACAGATCACAATCTCAGGGTACAACATACGGTGCACACGCTGAGCTATGCGATTTTGGATCTTTTTCTTCTCCTTTGCATCGGTCTTACGGGTGTAATCTGTTTCCATTATGGATTTGGGTAGCGTACGTAGCTATTAAAGATGAGAAGATATTGGTTGATTAGTATATAGGATACCCTATTTCCGGGGCCTATATATCGTATTGCCTGGGCGTACTAGTCCCTAAAGCCACTAGACCCAGCGCTTATGAATGTCAGATGCGGGCTATGAATAAAGTATTTAGTGTGGGCCTAATATGTAGTTTTTGCTCGGTCAGACGTCGGATGAAATAAATTAGCTGTATCGTACCTCCAATACGCTAGTATTTCTATTGCCAAAGCTCACCTCATGAATCTTACTGTTACAACTGGTTTCGGCAAAGATTTATAGATGCACCTACTACGCCTCGCCCACACCACTATCTTACACGTGATGGGAGACTCTAGATCCGCACATTACCGAAGGTTGAGTTCAAACTGAAACTTACCTCACAGGAAGTGGGCTGCTCTTATAGCTACACTTGGTACGCAGCTTGTGTCAGGTTTTATACAGGTAGAGAAGATGATTAAATTATTCACCTGAGCCAGCGTAGCTGGTGAATCTCTAATTGGGTTCTCACTACCTACTTCAATACCATGGCACGTCTCTTAGCTCTATATTTGCATAGCTATAAAGGTAGTAGGATAGGAAATAACATGCCCCGTCGAAACATCATGCAACGCCTTAAAAATTTGAACACATAAACTCCAAAACGCATTTGGACCAGAGACTGTAGATATAAAAGGGGAATAATTTACTTGAAATTGATGAGATATGGATGACTAGAGTTGCCCATAGGCGGTCTAGCATGACTAGGCTCTCCAGCAAGCAGCTAGATCTTATCGTCGTCACGCTCGAAATAATACGGAGAGATTACTGTACACCATCAACTTGCTCTAATATGAATTATAAGATGCTTTGATGTTCAAGGAAAAGGATGAGGGCATAATCGGCATGGGAACATACCATTAAAAGGTTATGCCTCTAATCGATAGCTGTGTGTGCTGTGCAGTGCAGGATAACACCTATTTACACCTTTTTCGAAGATTTCAGAGTTTTAGATAATCGAGGCATAGAGACGATGTATCGTCCTACTCGCGTACTAGCTTTGGAACGAATTATAGTACTGTGTGTAACAAGAGTGAAGAATGAAGGATTGGTTTAAGGAAGCCCACCCAGAATTATTGGAGAGACCCCACGACTACAATAAACTTTCAGATATTGTAACAAAGACTTGCGAGGCTCATATATCAGATCAACTCTTGTTCTTAGTAATCAGTAAGAGACATTGCTGTGAGGCTGTAATTACTGCTCAAAGTGGGCATGTTCAGTATTGAATATAAGCACTTACCCAATTAGGCGTAGATCTTCTTCCTTCCACTCCCATATTCAATACTTTCGTTCCCAACCTGTATACTGGAAATTTAGTGGCTTCAAATAGACTCCGAGTCTAGGCCTGTTTAGGCTTAGATTTTGGTGCAGATGAGGAGAATTATAGTGGGGAATCGGCTCTCCCGTCATGGGCATGACTAGAGGGGCGGGGGAACGGAAACGGCTCGATCCGTTGCGCGTGATGGCTTGCTTTCTAACAGAGTCAGCTAGCGTCGAGATTGGAAAGCGCTGATGCTTTTGTTTCATATGGTTTAGCACTTGTGGTTATAGAAGGAGAAACAAGAGAATGCAGTAGCTATAGTTGCAGCTATGACACGAGAAAGCTGTGGTAGATGATATCTAGAAGTACGAAGTATCTCGAAACTAAAAGATGAGCTCTCAAATCTCCGCTGATAGATGCAACATTTGCTTAGCAGGAGCTATGACGCTGGGCTACGACGCTGGGCTACGACGCTGGGCTACGACGCTGAGCCAGCTATATGCAGGCTAACAGGATATCTATCACGACCTCATCCAGGACTAGAGACATGAGATAGTAGACTACACGACTGAAGCATAAGGAAGGGTGAATTTGTTCTTGACGCTAGCTGCACAATTGTTGCTCGTCACCTTTACTTCATCGGCGGGAAGAAGAAGGTGTACGATCGACGAATCACTCTCAAGAAAGTAGTTTGCACCGGCAACTGCATTTCGAAGAAAAAAACTGACTGTCAAATACCGAGTCTTGCAGGACGGTCTTTCAGAATCGAGATCTTGAGCAGTGGCTTGATGACTGAATTCACAATACGAATCAGTGCAGGGATGCAGGCCTACATACATCAGACAACGGACTACCGAGCTCCGAAGGACTTCCGAGCAGCTATCAGAGCTATTGCATCTGAACATGCATGATCGTTGCACCGTAACTTTATCCTGGAGGAAACAGTAGGAAGGACGAATGAGGCTCAACCTCTCGCGGACTGTATTGCTCAGCTTAGAGTAAACTACCGATGAATCGGTCCTACTGCGGCGCGCCCTGGACAAAAGAACCCGCCGTGGTCGGTGCCAGACCCTCACATTACGATGCCATATAATTTCAATTGATCCCAAACTTAAATTTTTTGTGATAGACGTTGTTTATCTGGTACTCTCACATGTGAAAACTTCTAACATCTACTCTGATATTAGCTTCATCTTGCCTTTTACTACGGTGTGATGGAATGTAAGGTGTAAAACACTTTTACTACGATTTCTGTTGAGGGGGCGTCGGCATTATTCCGGACCTTTGCGTCATTCACATATTAATGGCCATCCCTGCGCAGCGGGACACCCCGTCTGTGACGGGAGCGGGACGCTTTGCCGTCCCACTAGCGCCACTGCACAAGTGCAAGTCAAGCTCAACGCGCATCAACTCAGCTACTGCAGCTCTCCCGCCACAAGAGTCTCGAATCAGGAAGAGCGTGCATGGTGTTGGGCGTGCTAGCGGCCGATCACTACTATCAATCTATCCTTTTCAATTATCCCCATGTCCGCTCGCAACAATAGGCGTTTTCAAGTAAATATCTGGAGAACTGGAAGGGAAGTGCAGATATTGAATATTGGGATCACTGACTGCAAAGGTCAGCCGTAGGTAAGGGATGTGTTTCCCGGCACATTCGCCGCGCGGACAGCAAGGTGACTAAACGTATCTGCACAAGCAGCCTGCAGTACTCTGCAGTAGCGTACGCCAATACTTATGTATCGTATTGTAATGAAATGTACGGAGGTGCCTCACAAAAGTTTTGTCCCACGCTAATCTCGGCGCTTCGGCATAACTCTTCTTGGCGCAACTCCCACCTTTGAGCTGAGTAGCTGTACGATTTGTCTGTATCTATCGTTACAATGTCTCCTAATACTGATCCTTACACCCGCA